TCAGGGAGCCTAGGCGAGCGTGCGAGCGAGGGGCGAGCGGGGCTCAGGGCGCGTGCGCGGCCAGACGGACCATTCCTGGCCGTCGGTGGGAAGAGGGGCTCAGAGACTCGCGTAGGCTGCGGAGCTCGCGCCGGCGCGGGTGTCGGGCTCCGCGGCTCACGGCCCCGCTGAACTTGGTACAGTCCGCGGCACTGAGCGTCAAACGGAGCGGGCGAGCGCTGAGGAGCGGACGCGCCTTATAAATAGAGGATGCCTTGGGGTGGAGGGGTGGGGGCCTAAGGACTCGGCGTGGATCCCGGGGTTGGAGGCTCGCTCATCTGCATAATCCTAGCGCGGGACAAAGGAAGGCCTCCCGCACTGGAGGATGTGATTTGCATATTCCCGGGAGAGGCTGCCCTTCGGGCCGCGGTGATTAGCATATGGATGGGGGGGGCACCTGAACCGAGCGCATGCGTATAGGGACTGCAGACTTGAGCGAAGTAGTCCGGTCTCCTTGTCCTGAAGCTACCGAAGGTCTACAGGACCCAGTTCACTCCCCTGCCACCCAGGATAAATCTTTATTGCCCACTTGTGAATTAGGCCCGCACGTGGTTTCTGCGTTTCGAGAGATCTGCCCACCGCCCCCGCCTCCCATCTAAGGAAGACGAACCACCTTTGTTTAGACTAAAACTTAGAACTGCAGACCTGGAAGAGGTGGAAAGTAGGAGGCTGTGGGTGCCAGAAACGCCTGCCCCAGCCCGGGATTCTGCAAGGACTTCCAGGGCTGATTTTTAAGCCAAGTCTGAACTGGAGCCAACTAGAATGGTAGTCTCTTGGCGGAGGAACTAGCTAATGCAAATGCCCAGAGGCAAAGGAGTGTCAGCATTCTTAGAGGAAGTGAAGGCTGCCTCTTTTGCGTAGAACTGGGGAGGAGAAAAATCTCCTAAAGGTGTTTGCTTCTTTTCTCTCTCTCTCTCTCTCTCTCTCTCTCTCTCTCTCTCTCTCTCTCTCTTTTGAGGCAGGCTAGCCTCTTACGCCCTCCAACGCCCTCCAAAAGAATGACCTTGAACACTGCCTCAGGAGTGCTGAACTGACAGGCCCACAGCAGCAAGCCCAACTCCTGTAGGTGACCTTAAAGAGCTATAAGCTCGCGCCGACTGTACGTAGCCAGCACCACAACCCCGCCCGTGCTGGGGAGAACCGATTTTAATCACTAGCCACCTAAAATGCTCCGGTGGAGTCCACCACACCGTAGAAAAGGAAAGGTTTTGCTTTGTTTTGTTTCTGAGACCCCGTCTCCCTGTGCAGCCCATGGTGGTTTTAAAAGCTGGGATGACAGGGCTGCGGCACCAAACCTGGCCTCTCAGTCAAAGCTCTGACCCTGACGTCTTTTCTGGCCCCACCCCCCTTTTTATCTGGTCCCGATCCCTGTACTTCAAACACAGTCAGCTCTTTACTGTCTCAGGCTTTGATCTTGTTGTTCGCTTTATCTGAGAATGCTCCCCCCCCCCTTTCTGCTTACTCTGCCTTGGCACTGATGTCAACCTGAGGGGTCTTCCTTGATGATATAGCATCTGCAGATTGAGTGAATTAGGGAGACTGACACAGCGCCTGTTTCTGTAAATGAGGCACTTTTGATGGTGGGCTAAAGTGTGGTGCAGAGTGCCTGGGTCTTTGTGGTCCTTTCTATCTCTTTCACTTTGTATGAAATCTTCCCTAATAACAAAATAAAACAGTAAACCACATCTCCTCTCTCTGTGTGTGTCTGTGTTTTAGGCAGGGGCTTACTATATAGTCCTGGTCTGGAGCTTGCTACATAGACTTGGCTGCCGCTTATCTCCCAGATGCTAGAATTAAAGATGTGGGGCCTACCTTTTTTGGTTTGTTTGTTT